ACGCAAAATGTGTCCTAACCAACGGAGCCTATTGTGCTGAATTCGATGAGATTGCGAGTTCGTGTTGAATGCACTTCCAAACACCCGTCGACTTGTCTCAAGGTTACAAACCCGCTCACCCCATCCTATCTCAACCAGACTACGTAAGCATCGATTGTCGACAAGCCCTAGGCGACGGATGTTTTCTACCCGCAAATTCAAGGTCTCACAACAGTAAAGCGGAACTCTTCGTATGGTGGGACAGTATAAGGGACTTCACAACTTCAGTGAAAGGTCACTTTGTCGCCAAAGGTCTTTTAGTCCTGCGCACGCTGCTCGAGCCTTGGAAATGCTTGCAGTTAACTAATTTGATGCACTGTTGTCATTGGTCACACAACTACCCAAGTAGGAAGAGTAATCCACTATAACTAATTCCTAACCATTTAGTTTTAAAGCGAGACTCGACGACACCAAGTCCTGCAGTATCACTTCGTACCCGTAAGGTGCGAAGCGCACGCCGAAATGAGCAACAGAATTTGTTAATCTGTCAAGTGCGCCTTGTGCATGCTCATTACATTCCAACAGATAAACTATGTCGTCGGCGGATTCCGAATCTCACAGCTTTTCTCACAAAACACTAGCCACGGGGTTTTAGCTACACCAGACGAGACAGTCTGGTTAGCACCTGGCCAGCTGAAATGGTTGATGGAGTACTCTGCCCACCGCTCAAGCCTTTGCTTCGTATGATGTCGCAAGTTGTTTCACTAACTGTGATTCGCCGACCTCCGGTGTTGCGTATCAGTTGGAACAGTCCGACTATTCCCTGATGCAGTGGCTACCTTCATTTCATTAGCTATTGTTGCCCACCAGTGTTTATGGTTCTTCTGGAGGCTCCTTTGGGGATAATGTTGCAAACGCCATCTACATCGAGCGGTTGGGATTTGCCGCTTTTTTCCATCGGTACTACCGACTCATCAGATATCCAATGGCTTGGACGGGCTACCGATTCAGATCCCTCGCAGCGGAATGCATTACTCGTCTAATCTAATCCCATTGTTCGTCTACACAACCGGGCTGCAGCGCATTGACCTTCTGCCCGGTTCTGATTCAAAACGGGTATGAGCAGCTCAATTAAATGAGTGATGACCTGCCAATCGATTTTGATGAGGTTTTCCGCAATCAGCCTTAGTTTGTAAAACCAGTAACTATCAACTTTCATGGGCCAGTTGACTGGCCATTTGGATGAACGGTAGGAGAAAGACAGGGAAGGTGAAAGCAGAGTCGAAGAGAAAATGGAGAATCTCAGTGCACCAAGGTTGTAGAGAAATTGAGAAGATGCATGAGCGCCATTATTTACGACACTCATTCATATCACCCAGTGTCTATAAACACCGATTACCATAATCCCTGGGTCCCCAGCCAGGGAGCCTGCATGAACCAGTCTCCTGGTTAGGGTTTTCATACCCTCGTGCCAGGTCTTATTTTGACCACCCTGGGCTTTTGTTCACTCACTAACTGCCTCGGCAAACATCGCGTACCGTGAGCAACACAGGTCCCAACTAACGTAATCTACGGCGGTAGATCACTTGCTCCAGTGGACGATAGCGATTACCTAAAACTCTACGCTTAACTTCAGCATTGCTCGTCCGGCTTCCCCACCGTATCCGTGCAATGCTGCGTAGACAGGGGTGTTCGAACACCATCAATCTTTTTTTCTGTTCCCGTAATGTCTAGTCTCGGCACCGTATAGCAGGACTGGTTAAACTTCTGCAGCATATACTCGACCCTTCACGGGCAGGATGTTGCAACGGAGCCACAGATGTCCCACTTTGGCAAATGCTGATCGAACTTTCTGTATTCAACCTGACATTTCATATGTGACGCGTCCGCCAGGTGAGATACAGCTGCCCAAATAACAAAACTTGTTCATTTGCTCTATTACTTCCCCCGTTATAGTGCTGCTGGGCACTGGGTCAACCCAATCTTGTAGCGACATTTTACATTTTGAAGGTGCAAAATGCATACCGAACATCGCTACACTAGCACTCAAACTATCCAGAAAGGATTGGAACTTAACTGGATCATCACTTAATAGAACAATGTCGTCTGCATACGCTAGATCAGACACAGACAATCTGCCACCTGGGAGAAAATCGATACCGCTATTCGTGCACGAAGACAGGGATGTTTCTATTGTCAAATCAAAGTAAAATACAAACGAAGAGAGACGGCAACCCTGACGAACACCACTTTCTGTGGTTAACTCGGGCGAAAAAGGGTCCTAAGCTCGAACTCGGCTTTGGCTACTAGTATAACGGGATCGTAAAATTGAAATAAACCTCTCGGGCACACTCTTCATGCACAGGTAGAACCAGAGTTTAGAGCGGTCGACTGAGACGAAGGCAGCTTTCAGCTTAACAGAATGAGTTAGGTGAGTTCATCATAGAACTCGTCTTTCAGTGCAGCATAACTGCAGTTGGTCGGTGCATATGCTGAAATGATACATATCTTTGATATTGCTTCCCTTTCGCACACTGATAGATCTTTGGAGCCGCATCGCACATAAGTCACTGTTGACGAGGATCCAATCGATTGGTAACGCTTCGGCTGATTGCGTCGAACACTGTTTGGCCATGTTCGTTTGATGATTTGAAACTATTCACAATGTGTACGTCTAGACGCATATCAAAGTGGAAAAAAAATTATAGGGAAAGCACAACATATAACTTTGAGTCCTAGATGAATTAGTAGGGTCAATAAGAGAAATGATATTTAGTCTACTTTCCTCCGATTACTCTGTCGGATTCAAAGTGCGACGAATCGTTTCTGTGACAAACTTATGCCTTATGCTCACTCTGGTTTTGTGTGAAGTGGTGGTCAGGTGGTTCGGGTTTCCACCACTGATATTTTACAATGACATTTATTATTTTTTCACAAACATCTTCCGCTTAAGAATGAGCGGCTCCTTATAGATACATTGATTTATTTATCACCGACTTGCAAACAAGAATGGTGCCAATGCAACAACAATAATAACAGTAAATCGTGAGATTGGAGTATATCATAGAACATGGAAAACAAACAATCACAGTGGATTACGAGAAGTAAACGTTTATTTTGTTTCTTCTTCCGTAAACTTGATATTTTTGTGTTCATTTATGGTTTGAAGGGAGCACTGGATTGCAACATACAAACAGTAGAGCGCTCGCGCCACTGACTTCCGTTTCAGGGTATTTTTCTCAACGTCCCTGGACAGCGACAGTCATCATCACTTGGGCTCCAACCTGGAGGGCGAGCGAGATTTATAGAAGCCAATGCTGAAACTAGCTTCTTCATATCGTTACGCTATGCCATGTTCCGACCGCAGCAACATTTCTTCCAGTTTTGCTCGGCAGGAAAAGGTAAACGGATGCAGGCACACGCAAAACGTGGCCGAGCAATCAGAGGCGGTGTAGAACGATTTCTTCTTTCAGAAATCGACTTTCAGCACTCTGCACACAACGACGAAACTCGTCATTGCCCACCCGATATTCTCAACGGATACGAAGACATTGCTGACCGAATGCAGAAAACCGATCCAACTTTACACTGTTTATTTTTCTAGCTGCCTCTGGATATCTAATGAAGAATCACAGGGATGCGTCCCCGGGACTCTTGTATTTTTATTATAGATTAGGTCTCTGGCGTTTGCTTGACTAAATGGTAATTGCAAGGCAGTGGAACAGCGTCCCACTGAAACGATTTTAGAAGTTTCAGCTACCATCAACCTGATTTATCCGGCCTTTGGAGCGCTTTTTTGGAGTATGACCGATGCCAATAGGGGAGCAGTTAGTATCAGTCAGGGCGGATATTTCAGCATCACGTGAAGACTAAAGATTAGAGTAATTCCCCAAAGACATTCTTCCAAGCAGAGATTCTCCCGGCAATCTTGCATAACCCTTCGCAGTAATAAACTAACCTGTTCATCGTGGGTTTTGTGTTTCGGACGAAAAATACAAGGGCCGCAGACAACCAATTAGATTCCAGATGAATAGGGATAACATTCTAGATAAGACGTTTACTCCATCATCGTAGAGCTCGAACAGTTCACTTGGACTTTTTGTAAGTTCTAACTTGGAAGTAATTGATTGTTAGTTCTTTTATGCTCCTGAATGCAATCAAAAGATGATAAACTATCCTCAAATATTAACAATTTCCAGAATGAAGAACGGCATGAGGTCGTTTTGTGAAAGACAAAGATCTATCCAACCAATATTATGAAAACTGTAATTTCGGTCATTAAATGACCAAACTAAATATCCTTCAAGCAGGTCGCGGGTGTACTTACAAAGATTCACTTGCGCTATCTTATGAAAAATATCTAGCTGAAGTTGCAGGCCATCTCGAATTATAGTCTACCTCATTTGCTGCAATATGCGGTAGCACAAAAGCGTGCCCTCAAGCCGGTTTTTATTCTACCTCTACCAACGGGTGAGTTGTATTTTGGGGCTTCCGCAGGATCTTGGAAGTCACATTTTTTTCTTTAGAAGTGTATATTTTGAGCATATCTCACCTATATGATACATCATTTGTAAACTGGGCCTATTCCTTTGGAACAGAAAAGAATGAAATCGGTTTGGGGTGGGGGGTTCAAACCATTTATTGGTTGACACTCACCGCATATTTGTAAGGGAGGCTCCAATTCTAAAAGCATAGGCTGTGAGAGGAATATTTCCCTGGAACGAAGGCAAATAGTCCAAATCTCTTCCTCACGCAAATAGACAATAGGTTTTTCCGAACTCCTAGCTAATATTAGATGCATTTTCTGTATATGTGTGCTTACTTACCATTAAGCAACCGAGCGATAAATTCGTCGATGTTGAGTACTGACGATACATTTCTGATAGGAGACATTTCAGGTGAGATCAGTGGATGTCCAGATTGACCTAAAATGGAAAGTGTAATGCACCTTGAAAACAAATCTCATCAACAGACCGGCAAAAATTAGTCAACTTGTCGGATGAGTAAGAGTCTAGTCTGGTGATACAAAAGAAAGTTATTGCTGTTTCACACGAATTATTCCACGAGGATAGGTATTTCTGCTTCAGATGCACCATTTGTTCATCTCCACCATTAGTTCCCAATTACGTAACCATCACGAGGAGACTATCCTCAGACTGAATGGGACGGCTTACGCGATCGAGACGAATTGCAGCCGCATCACAGCAATGCATTCGCGTAATCAGTACATCATTTGTCGTAACTTACTCAATTGGATCACCAACTCATATATATATATATATATATTGTGTGTCAATAGGAAGGCATAGGCACACACCTGCAAGAACATTTCACTGTTTGCTTGTTCTACATATATTGCTGTTACTGAGACCTACTTAATTCGCAGATACTCGTGGACGACCATAGGCAGTGCTGAGATGTGGCAAATGTGACCTATCACTAAATATCATAGCTTTTCCTTTTCATCTTCCATTTGCCAGATCAGATTCTTCAGAATAGGCGGTTGAACTATTGGCCCATTGCTCACCTGGTACGATGCTACGACCTTGCAGTTTGTGCTTGGCTGCACAGGGGATAGAGCCCTTCGTCGAACAAGGTGTACTCAAGATCTGGAGACGGATTATGAAGTAGCATAATGCAAACTGATTGTGCATGTCTTTAAAATATGACTGGCCCTTATCTGTTGAAAAAACAAGCAACAATAAATCCTACTTTCTCAACCCGTCACCCACATTTTTACATCCAACGGCACCTTTCGTAATCTATAAATGGGATAGTATTCCTCATGGACGCCATATCAGAGCCTTCTAGTGTCCTTTTTAGTATCCAAGTCTTCATTTCAGTCATACGTCAGATAATTTTATTTGCCTTCGAACCTGTAGCGGCGGCGAAAATACGATGAGTCGTAGAATCATGGATTCCTAGTTTTTGCATAGCGATGCACAGTTCCCTCAGAAATTCACTGCTTTTTCTGCTACAATGTTTCGCCTTATTGTTTAGGGAGAGCTATCGTGATAGATGATCTTAGCACTCTTCATTGCATATTTATACTATGTTCCACTAGGATTCACACCTCTGATGGGCATGCTCTATACCCGGTAATCATACAGAGCGAAAAGTAACGCACTGATCACTGGGAGAACAGGGTGTGACGCTTCCCGGAGACGCCGCAGCATACACGCCATAGTTTAGCAAGAATTCATGAAGTATATTGGGAATGTGGTGCGAAATGGTGTCCTCCACATCGTTTGGCTTTTTCGAGGATACAAATCAAGCTTTTTCATAACCAACAGCAAACTGTAGGACATCAGGATTGTATAGTTGTTGATGGCCGATGACCACGTCAGTTTATCATACCCCTTTCGGGTTGACTGCAGACACAGGACATTCAACATGTTCATGACGTGCTATTTATTGGCGGGCCATATTCGCGCACGATAGTGAGGTCACCAGACTTGTGGGACTTTTAGGAAGATCATCGGTCAAGCGACAACCCACCACATCCTCGAACACCGCCGCTGATTGTCCACGACTGCTAATAGGAGAGATGGATTGGTCATTCTACTACCGACTACCTGGATATGCGCTCATCTGTGCTCCCCTTTTCATTGATCCACAGTTGCATTCATTCATATGCATATTGAAGTAATTTATTCATCATTGCGAACTGTTTTCCCCTCTAATGGACACCTGGGACGCTTGACACCGTCAAAATGGCTTATGAACTGATGAATAGAACAAAGGACCCGTAATGGATTGCGGTTTTCACATACAACCACTGCTGCCTTCCGGGTGACTTTGTTAGTTAAAAGCTCCCGTTGTGATTCCCCCACGAAAATTCACATGCTTGGCCTGGGTAACCTGGTAGCATTCTGTCCATGTGCAAATTATGAAGCTTTTTATACAAAGAATTTTGTACTGTAATTTACATAGCATACAGCCTGGACTCTGATGTGCGTGAAATATAATTATAACACTCACAGACAAGCCGAATTGTACATTTACATTCTACGTAGACACTCACACAAGCACGGCTCATGTGAACATTTGCATGTACTTCTGTATTTTACAAGCAGTACATCGAACATATTTGGCGGCGGTAAATGTTATGACCATGTTTACTGCAGTACTATAGACACGTTTCACTTGTGCGCTATACATAAAGATTGATTGCGGCTTCCATTGCCCCTACATTACTCTTATTAACTGTTGAGTGAAGTTCATCTTTATGCGTTTATCTCCTGATTTGTTCAAGTCCGCTGTCGTTTTTTTGACTGTTCTGCAATCACCCGACATGTTCCGTATCCTCGTCTGCAGGGCGTTTAATTCCGGTATACCCAAAGGAATGTCGCGTCTCGGGGTCCGATTGAGCGCACTATGGAGTGCATTGTTGACCTCGACATTGGATTAGCATGTAGGTCTGGAGCGCGGACTCCGTTTCGGTTATCAATTTGTACAACCAGTAACCATGCGCTTTCGTGCGCCGGTTTCGGTTGGTTTTTTGGCTGTTCATTTTCATGGACAGTAGGAGAAAGACACGAAAGTTGAAGGCGGAGCCGAAGAGAAACTGGACAATTTCAGTGGACTTCGATCACAAAGAAATTGAGATGCACGAGTGCCATTGTTTGCGACACTGTAGTGACCAACCAAATCCCATTCTACATGTATCCTTCCTCCTGTACCTCTCATTGTTTATCACACCAAGGCCACCTCTTTAGTCAGCACGTGTTTGCTTTCACTTTCCGCACGCTTCCGTATCTCCTTTTTGCTCTGCAGGTCATAACAATACAACCCGTCCTCCGTTTCGTGAATCGTCTCGTTCTGTTTTCGTACGAACGTCCCTTTGCGACATTTACATATTAGGTCAGGATATCGACAAGCTGGTGTCTACAAATTAGTGAGCCCTCTTATCCTATTTTATTTACGTTGTAATTTTTTTTCTTGGAGAAATTTAATTTCTCTAGGTCACATTTCTAGTAAATTGTCCGCACACATTTTTACGGATACGCTCTCGTTCATTTATTTTAGATTATATCTATCTCTAGTTTCGTGGTTTACCCCCAATTCACTACTGGGTTTTTCCATTTTCGATTTTCAACGTATTTTTTCTGATAGGTGCTATTCGATCATATTTTTATAATCGGTTGCACAACCTCATACTATATATTTACGATTAAGTATGACTAGCCCCGACTATAATTATCCCCCAGACAGCAAAGCACTCTAGGCCAACATCAGAGCACCACAGTTCATGCCGGAGGACCCGGAGGCGTTCCTCGCACTTCTGGAATCGCGATTCCATGAAACTCGCATCACAGGGCAACTGTCACATTACTATAAGCTGTTGTCCGCGATACCGCGGGATATGCTGAGCAACTTCAGGATGTATATATATATATATATATATATGAATGCCCTCGCACACAACCCATACGATGTGCTCGAAGAAGTACTCCTCCGTCGTATGGCCATTTCTGAGGAGAAGCGCATCCAATTTCTGCTATCTGGGATATAACTGAGAAACCTAAAGCCGTCCCAGGTACCGCGAAGGATACGTGCGTTAGTAGGCAACATAACGTTAGACGACTCTGGCTCTAGCGGCTCCCACCTTAAATACTGAGTATACTTAACGTCTTCGCCCACGCCCACAGTCTCACGAACTAGCCNAGAAACCTAAAGCCGTCCCAGGTACCGTGAAGGATACGTGCGTTAGTAGGCAACATAACGTTAGACGACTCTGGCTCCAGCGGCTCCCACCTTAAATACTGAGTATACTTAACGTCTTCGCCCACGCCCACAGTCTCACGAACTAGCCGAAGCTGCAGACCGAGCCATGGAGCAAGCTCAACTTTTTCAGCCCACAATGGCGAACGTCGGGAGCCCTGAACCAACCATGGTTCACCAGACGCTTCCCAATTCAGCTCGCGTTAAGCTCTCCAACGAGCCCATGAGAGAAGTGCAGCTTTTGACTAAGCAGTTGGGCGACCTTCGCTTAGCTATGACCCCTATGCAGACCACAGTCAACAAACTGCAGACTATTCGCACGACCTGTAGTCATCCCCGGTCAAGCAACAGGCGCAGGCGAACCTCATCTAGGGGCGGTCTGTGCTATTACCACGGACGCTGCGGCAATCAGTCAGTGGTCGTCGGTTCCTTGGTATATTCGGAAACGCAGAATATACACCACACTTTTCCACACGATGATTCGACATATTCATCGTTATTCCGCGAGTTCCCTAGCCTAGTCTACCCCAGCACCGAGATGCCATCTATCACGACGGGGGTATCTCACTACATCGTCACTTAATGTCCACCGGTCCACGCGCGTGCCCGTCGACCAGCACCAGATAAGTTACGCACCGCACGCGCAGAGTTTCAGCACATGCTGAACATGGGTATTATACGCCCCTCAGAAAGTCCATGGGCATCCCCTCTACACATGGTACCCAAAAAGTCGTCCAACGACTGGCGTCCATGTGGAGACTATCGCGCACTCAACCGCGTGACAACCCCGGATAGGTACCCGATCCCCCACATCACGGATCTCACGTCAGACCTAGCCGGTAGAACGCTTTTCAGCCGCATC